GAGAATGGAGAAGGGATTGTGGCATGGCCATACTCCTGGGGGGTGATTTTTCACTTTCCTTCTCACTCTCTCTGGTGAGTGTACACACACTCTATGACAAAAACCTTAAAAAAAAAAAAAAGAAAGAAAGGAGGTATCAGCAGGTGGTGTAGTGGTTAAGGCACTGGACTCCTACAGGTCAACACGGGAGATGGGAAACATATATAAATTTACTAAGGAATGAAAGAAGCAAGCTGGAGAACAGAATAGGTATAAGATCTCATTTTTTAATTAACAAAATGTGTTCACCGGTCACATTATCACCTTCCCTAATTCCCCAAACTAATCACTCTTACCCTGAAATAATTTTCTTCAGAGTTCGTTGTCTGCAGTAAATTCCATGTATACAAGGACTTTATTTGTTCAATGACCCAGTTCCTAAAACAATTTCTTAAACTGCCAGGACAAGACAAAGAAAGAGGAAAAGTGGGAAAGCAAGCTGCCAGGCCTGGGAATCAAAGAGCAGTCAGCTGTGTAGGAGTCCACTGTCTTAACCACTAGGCCATCCGCTGTCCCCAATAATTATTAATTTTAAAATATGAATGAGAAATCCAGAAATACATATTTCAAAAAGTTACATATATTTCAAAGACTGTGGATTTCAGAGTGAAGTATCTCCATCAACCCACACTCAGTTTAGTTGCTGCTGAAAAAATACTAGTAAGACATTTATATGTATCCTTTTCCTGTTGACTAAGCGACTTAACATCCCTGTAAAATACATAAAAAACAGAAATAATTAACATGTGTTTGCACTTTACGGTTTGTTGGTCATTCTTGTCATTGAAATCTCTATCCTGTTCAACCCATTTCCTTTCCTCTTTATTGTCCAGACTACCTCTCATTTTCTCAACTGTGCAGTTCCATGCTTCTTTGTCCGGTACGTGCATACGCACACACATACACTCGTTCGAGAACGTTCTACCTGTAATTATCCTTCAAAACCCAGTTGCAGCCAACACCCCAGAACGCACACGTAGACGTCACACGACGGCCCCCTCGTCGCCCCGCCTCCTCCACGCGGCCTCCCCCAAGGCCGTCCCAGAAGCCCCGGGGGCCCGCCTGGCCCCGCCCACGCTTACGTCCGCCGCGTTCCAAGTCCCCGCCCTCTCCAAGGAGTTTCCCAAAGCCCCGCGCGGCGGGCCTGGGCGGCGCAAAGATGGCGACTCCCATGCATCGGCTCATAGCCCGGAGACAAGCGTAAGTGAGGGTCCCATACGGCTCCCGGGCGGGCTGGGGGCGGGGAGACGCACGTCAGCCGGCTGGCGAGCCGGCGCCGGGGTGCCGGGC